GGCAGCCGGCGGGCTGAGCGCGGCACGATGGCCGGTTACAGCGTGGAGGAGCGGGCCGCGCCTCACAGCTTGGAGTACCGGCTTTTCTTCAGTGAGTGCTTTGCCCCCTTCCTCCTCTTCCTTCTCCCCTTCATCCTACCAGCTCGGGGGTTGGGGCGAGCTCCTCTGAGGGAGCCCCCACGGCCTGAGGTGACACACACACACCCCCCCCAACCTGAGGCGTCCCCTCAGGCCGGGCCTGACTTCTTTCCCCCCCCTTTGCCTTGCAGAGGATGCCGCCGGGCGCTACATCTCCCCCTTCCATGATATCCCCATTTACGCGGACCCCGGCAAGGTAAGGAGGGAGAGGGGCCGCAGCAAGGAGCAGCAAGCCGGGTGGCTGGTGTGGCCTCGTTGGCCTGCGGCCAGCGACATGAGCAACGGCTGGAGCTCTGGGTGTGAGCATTGAGTGGGTCAGGGAGTGAGGTCCTGCAGGCCTGAAATACCCGAGGGAGGCTCCCAATTCCTTATGGTGGTTCTCGGCAGGAGCGCCTAATGGAAGCATCGCCAGGTGTTGCAAGGAACGGGTGCCCTTTTCTCGCAGTTTTGGGCACAGTGACGTAGGACAAGAGAACGGATGATCCCATTCTCGTATTTGCATCTGAGATAGGAGTGGTTGTCTTGAACTTGCCCGTGAGGTCGCATGAAAGCGTTTTGGGTTAAAAGAAGCAGTTTTCCGTTTAACTAAATATCTGCATCCACTCCATAGGAGGTATATGCTCATGCTGCATGATGTTTCAGGCTTGGGTTTTGACTGCAGTAAGGCCACTTTATGCCCGCAGTATAATCAGCTGCTGAACAGAAGGTGAGGATGTTAAATTCTTGCTGTAGCACCTCCTGGGGACCTCTTGCCTCACAAAAAGTGCAGGTGGGGAACCTGCCGCATGCAGTGCTGCAGGGCTTTTACATCCTTCCGGCAGTCAGTCAAATTAGGCTGTTCCAAATCACTGTCGAAAATGCCCCAGCTCTAGGAAACCAAAACAGCTGTGCTTCAGTTTTCACTAAATGCTTTTTCAGTGTTAACTTGGGCTCTCTGACTGTGTTCCTTACCTTTATAGCTCGTTTCTTCTTTTAACACACACTAAAAAGCTGTGCAGCTTAAGAAACGTAGTACATGAACTGTTCTAAAGTTTGTGATAGAGAGGTATAATTTGGAGGTAGGGAGTGGTTATTGGAAAGGAAAAGAGTATGCAGAATTGAGAGATGAATCTCTAAAAAGTAGCTGATGGAACTTTGAGGTGCAGGTGGTGTCAGAATGTGCTCTGGGAAGTCTGAGGTGGCTTTTGCCTGCTCAGAAGGGAAAAGATGGATTGTAGTCATCAAGGACAGTGGCAAAGCAGTTTCTGTGGCCGACTGGGAAAGCAGTTTTCAAAAGCAGGTGTCGGAAAGGTAACTCAGACAAGGAAAACCGAGATAATGCTACGCTTTGCAGATGCTTGCAGAACACAGGAGGAAAGAGCAGGGGAGTGCGTATAGGGGTGAGGAGGGTTTCCGTGGCCTGGTAATGATTAACAAGGGAAACTGGACTGCTGATGTGCCTTCAGGCACTTAGTGCTGCTTGCCAGAGTCCCTGTGCAGCTAATGCTGCTTTCTTGTGCCAAGTCATTAGGAGAAGAAAGTATCACAGAAGGTCACAATCCCCAAAGTTACACAATAGTCCTGACCACATTAGACCTTCTGTTGCTGGAGTGGCTCTCCACAGAGATTTTACCCGTTACTTAGCAGATTCATTACCAGCTATGGTAGGGAGCCCAGCTTGGAGCAAAAGGTTGTCTGTCTCTGTCTGGGCTCCTTGATCTTTATCCTTAGACTTCTAAGACACTGAGAGGATTGCAGAGTGTTTTTTTCAGTCTAGGGCTGGGATGTGCTGACCTTATCTGTACCTGTGTACCTTGGCATTGCGAAGGAATGACCTTGGGCTACTCACTGGGTGTCTTAGACCAAGGCAGATCTGTCAGTTGGACTGTGGGGAATCTGGGAGCCTAACAACAATACATCCCTGAGTTGTCTTTCTTTGCCTGCAAAGCCATAAGCACCCTGCCTTGCCTCATTCCTTTCCTTAAGTTACTTATAAATAAAAATACTATATAACTTTTTACATATAAATTGCAAAAGAGCAGTGACCCCCTGCAATTAAGGGGATGTAATAAGATTCCCTTAGGGAAGGGTGTGGGCAAAGTCAATGATGTAACAGCACTCGTTGCACAATAGCAGTCTAATTATGGTGCAGTACAGGTGTGAGGGATTTTGCAATGCTAATGCTGCTTAACATGGGGATTAGAAACCTTGTCGATGCTAGGGAGCAAGGTTTGACTTTTTTGTTAAAAGCCATAATCTCTTCAAACAGCAAATGTTAAGGTTCAAGTGTGGAAAAGCTTGTTTTCTTGAAGAGGAGTCTGACATTGAACTCTCAAGAGTCCTCTCAGCCCAGCTGGAGTCAACAGGAGATGTTTTCAAGTGTCATCTGTAAATGAGATACTGCAAAATGTGGTTCTGTGTTTCTTCCCCACGTCTTTATGCTTGCACCATGCCACTAACAAGGTCTGCTTTTATAGGAGTGTCAGCTTGGAGAGGGGGAGCTCGGGCATGTTTCACTACTTCAAGACAGGCTAGAGTATTTGGGAGCGATATTCTCAGTCATTCAGGATAGTACCTAGGTACCCACGTTATTAAATAGATGGCTTACTCCTGTAAGTCTTGCCTCTTCTAGATTCCCAGGGTGGCTCTTGCTGTAGCAGTAAGTGCTTCGTATTTAATAAGTATGCCTAAAACCTCATTTTGTTATGTCCAGGATAGTTTGTATGCAGCTGTCTTCAATTCATTTAAATTAAACCTAACCATTCTGTAACCTAGGAACATGATGGAGATGTTCGTAGGTGGCAACTGATGGAGAATGTGTGGGTAACCTCAATCTAGCTTTTGCTGGTGTCTTTCATGGGATTCAGCTTTGAATGATGCCATGTGACTGGCTGGACTACAGGACTTCTATCAACGGTATCAAAACTGGCAGTGGAAAAAAACAGAAAAGAAAAAAAAGTTATGGTTTTCATGCAAACTGGCTGGCTTTTATGCTTACTTATATGTGTTCCCTAGTTTAAAGCGTGGTCTTGAGATTCCTTCCCATTCACTGATATTTTGCTTTCTTCAGAATGTGTTCAACATGGTTGTGGAAGTACCTCGATGGACAAATGCTAAAATGGAGGTAACTATATTACAGTTCCTAGCTTAAGTGCTTGAGCTGACTAGTCTATTAATCTTTGGCTTTGCTGATTCTCTCCTTCTCAGTTCCACTTCCTGAATCAGAGTGGTTTCTAACTTCTCGTGTAAATACTTGCTTAATGCTAGAGGTCTGGTATGGAGGCTGAGCCTTGCAGAAGTTGGATTAACTTAAAATTCTTCCGTGGCTTCTGATTAAAGCAGCGTCTTGTGGCTGTCAGCCCCATGTGGTTCTGATGTTTGTAAGTCTGCTGAAAACTATATCCCAGGAGATGGCAATGCAACAGGAAATGGAGTTGTCCAATATGTGCTGTGGGCTTCAGGGTCTCTTGGCTCCTGGTCTCTTGGCTTGTCAGTTAACAGCCAGCTTCATTAAAGAAAAAAAAAAATCGCTTGGCTTTTCTTAGAGAGCAAAGTAGAGAGATTTATGTAACTTTTCTTTCAGATTGCCACAAAGGATCCCTTAAACCCAATTAAGCAAGATGTGAAGAAAGGAAAACTGCGCTACGTAGCTAACGTGTTTCCCCACAAGGGTTATATCTGGAATTACGGTGCTATCCCACAGGTACTGTAACTTGTCTCGGTGGCTCACCCATTCTGGTGGGGAGGAGGGAGGATGCCTGTGTGTGTGTCTCGCTACTGCTGTATTAATGAGCAAAAGATCAGCTGAGTGTCTGATCTGGAACACAGCATTTGCATCTCCATATATAATCTTGCTAATGAAGAGGACCTGTCAAGAAAGCAGGGGTACTTTTAAGTAGAAGTCTCAAGAGGTAGGCTTGTAGCTAATGCTGTAAACAAGCTATTTGAGGATGCGCAGCTGCTGCTAGTGAGGTACCTGCTGTGTTGCTCCTCTCCATGGCCTCTCAGCAGTTTGGCTGGACAGTAGCTGGCAGGTCCTTGTCTTTGGATGAAGGAAGCTGTCACTACACAAGGAACTGGGCGTCTGGCAATGCAATGCCCTCAGTTCCTGCCTGGTGAAGCATAAAGAGCTGAAGTTTTAAGCTAATAATGGTACAGGATCTTGGTGTACAGCCCTTAGGCTGAATCTTTGAAGATTCTTCTTGCAGTGAATTAGCTGATTGTTTTAGACTTTGGATGTGGGCAATGAAAATCTGAATAGATCTGAAGGGCTGTATCTTTCCCGTTTCTACCCGTCTTATTGTTCAGGGTCTAAAACACACAGCTAGGCTATTGTATTGACCTGTTGGATGGTCGTAGATGACCTGTTCTCAGTGTTGGATCTGAGTGGCAGAAAGGCACTCAGAAGTCCAGAGACTGGGTGAGGCAGACATCTGCAGCTGCACAGACACACTTTCTCTGAAACAGCTGGCAAGGGGGGACCGACCTGGGTCGTGACACCTGGACACATGCTCTTAACTGGCTGGTGACCACTAGGTGAAGAGGAACTTTGAGCAAGGCTGTTTGCCTCTGATGTTCTCTAAGGTTTGCGTTTCCTTTAGAGAAATAAATTGTCAGTGGCAGTTCACAGGGAAACACACTGAATTTTGTAATTCTCATCTTGGTAGCAGTGCCTGTCGAGTGCTTTCTCCAAGTGGCTTGAGACGGTGTTTCAAGGGTGAATCGTTTTGTACTTGGATGGATTCTGGAGCCGGTTTCTTTGTACAGAATGACAGCTTTTGAAGCCTTTGCTCAGTCATATGTTAGTGGATCAAAGGTGGTTTTGCACATCAAGGTCAAGGGACCGAACTTAACACTCCCTTGTAGGGAAGCACGATAGCGATTGTGAAGAGTCCTTCAGCACCACCCAGGTTTCAGTACATCTTCCTGAATGCTCTGGATGCATCACGAGGTCTTGACTATACTTGTTGTGTCCTGGCATGCAGAGATTTGGGAAGAGCATTCCTTCTTTTTATATCTCAACAACCTTAGAGGTAGTTGCTCTTTATGATGCAAGTGGGCATGGCGTCCTTTCGCTCCTGATGAGAAGCATGTTTTAGGCAGCTATTATTTTTGGAGACATAGCTCCAGTGCCTTCTGGAGTCCTGTCTTTCCACTTGTATTCACCGCTTTAGGTGAGATGCACTAGGACTCTGGGTAGCACAGGCAATGGGACTCTGCATTCTTGTCACTGCTCTAATGTAACAATGTGTCTTTAATTGTTTAATTAAAAGGAAACAATACACCCTGTCTGTCTTCCATCTCTGTTGGACTGCTATCTGGAGTTCAGGAAATTTCTGTTAAGAAATGAATAGGGAGAGGAACAGGCAGGCAGCCAAATCAATGAGTGTTCTTTATAGATGTGAACTTCACCTTTATGCAGCTGTGGAACGGAGGAGGAAGTCTGGAAAGTTGTTGAAAAAAGGCTTGTAAGTGGGAGGGATCAGCTTACCCTTTTCAAGATAAGGCCTTTAAACTTGGATTCAAACTGCATTTGCAGGCACAACTGAAATAGTAGCCCAACCGCTAGACCTGAAAGCCAGCATGAAGTGAGCCATCATCTGTATTTTCGAGGCAATTGCATGCCTGAAATAAACCTGCTTTTTGTTTCTTCTTGAAACCTGAGAGTTCTTATTTGTGTGGGTTTTTTGTTTTTTGGGTTCTTTTTTCAGACTTGGGAAGACCCAGGTCACAAAGATGAAAATACTGGCTGCTGTGGAGATAACGATCCAATTGATGTGTGTGAAATCGGAAGCAAGGTAATGCACTCTAAAGGGTAACTGTCTTTTGAAACATGTAATTAATGTCTCTGAAGTCAATTACCCAGAGACATTATTCAGTTCCTACCTCCTCTGCCTTAAGAATGTGATGTTTCCCTCCTCTGCCTCTGGAGATTGTTGATGAGATCTTACAGCGGCAGCCTTGTGAGCCAAGGTTTGTGAACCGCTGATAAGCGATAGCTAATTTTGTGGTACCCGACTGCTTGCTGAACTCTCACAGCTTGCAGTCTTCTGTTGTGCATTCCTTGGATGCATCAGTACAGACAACAAGGTCCTTGTCCTTGCAGGTCTGCTCTCGAGGAGAAGTCATCAAAGTGAAGGTGCTGGGCACACTGGCACTGATTGATGAGGGAGAGACAGACTGGAAGATAATTGCTATCAATGTTGAAGACCCTGAAGCAGACAACTATAATGGTAAGTAACAGGAGGGAGGACCAGGCTGCCTACTTCCCTCTCTCTGTTGAGAGCCTGCAGGAAACTTTCAAGTCAGGACATGGGCTTGCTGCTTCTATGCCATGGTATTAATCAGATGTGATACTGGAAGGACAGCAAAGCAGGGTGTTATCAATCCTGTAGCAAAACATTTTACCACCGTTTATTGCAAATTGTCAGTCCTCTGCACAGCCTGGCATCTCAAAGAAGAGGGTGGCTATACAGCCTGTCCTCTGAGTGAAAGGGAGGGGGTTGTCCAGCAGGTCTCTAGTCAAAGCTGTTTAAATGCATCCATGCTCCTGGGGGCAATCAGGATATACTGTGAAGATGAAACACTTAACTTTCCTGTGCAGATATCCACTTTGTGTCTTCACTGTAACCAGTCTGAAGTGTTGCTAAGGCTACTTGAGGAGGGGCAGCTCAGAAGAGCAGGGTAGTAGCTAAGTAACTTCTGTTACTAGATCTGGCTAACAAATCTTTTCTCCCTGGCTAGATATCAATGATGTCAGAAGGATGAAACCTGGATACTTAGAAGCTACGGTGGACTGGTTCAGAAGATACAAAGTACCTGATGGAAAGCCAGAAAACCAGTTTGCTTTTAATGGTGAATTTAAAGACAGGGTAGGATTGCCTTTCTGCATTACTGTGAGCATGCAAAGGCACACTGTCTAAAAACTGAGCTCAAGGTGCATGGGGACACAAATGAGTAGTCGCTCAGAGAATGGATTTCTACAGGGCTGCTGATAGCTGACTTCATTCCTCCTGCTGTTTTTCCAGCCTACTGTTCTGCTTGTTTCCAGCCCAGTGCTTGCAGGAATACTAGGAGAAAAAGCATAGGGTTATCACCCAGCTGCTGTTGGATATTATCAGTTTTTCTTCTAGATGACATTCATGTGGGATTGCTTCAGGGCTGGGAGCCTCTGTGTCAGAACCAGGATGGAAAACACCAGGTTTATTTGCTCCTGCTGTGGAGCCAAGCGTGCTTGACATCACCCTTTGCCTCCCTTGCTCACCAGCCTTGTTCCACTGCAGCCTGATGCAAGTTGAAGTTAACTCAGGAGTTAAAATGCTTCTTCCTTCGGGCATAAAGTGTTCCCTCACACCCTTTGAGTAAGGTTCTGCCTTGGCAGAGTTATTCCCCTGCCTCTTCTCTGGGTTGGGTCAGATAATCTACTGCTCCTGAACGGGTGAAATCCTGCTTCTGTGCCCTTCCTCCTGCCAGTCCTGGTGTGCTGTGAGTGGCTTAGCGAGGTGACTCAACTCCCAGAGCTCCAGAGTTGGTGCAGAGAGTGGGAAGGCCTGCAAAACCTGGTGTGGGGAAGAAAGGGTAAGGGGGGCTAAAATGGAAGTCACGTTGGAGTGGACTTGTCCCCTTCAGCTGTAGCACAGCACTTGGTTGGGTGGGCTGGGACATCTTGCTGCCCCTCAGGATGGGTGAAAACGGAATCAAGGCCAAGGGGGAAAACAGGGACAAAGAACCTCGCACATGTTGCTGCAGTGTTTTATTTGGCTCTGTGTGGTATCAAACCAGGATATTTATTGCTGGTGTTCATGCTAACAAAGAATTGTGTGTGTTTCCTTCTGCAGCTGACAGGTTAATGCTTGAGCATATACTACGTTTTTTTTAAGGAAAAAAGCTGTGATATGCTTGGAAGCAGATTAATTTTTAAATAGTTGCAAAGCTAGATTAGGTGCGTGTCTCTTCCTGTTGATCTGTGCAGCAGTTGAGTGATTTGCCTGGAGTGGAAGAAAGCTCACAGATTGGTCAGGATCAGCTAGCTGCTGGAGACAAACTGAGTGGGATGAGCAGCAGGGCGGAGGTGCTTTTATAATACAGCACTGGCCTGAGACTAGAATATCTGCGTTCAGTTTCTTTTGGACTCACTAGGTGACCTTGGCGTATCCGCCCATCTTGAAAGCAAGGCAATTTGTGTTGTAAAATCCCCCTTGTTTCAGCTGTTGTGCACTGGGAGGTTGCTGTTGTTCCTGAAAGGCACAGTAAGGGAAGAGGTCTCTCTGAGTCCCTTCCAGAGTCAGAAACTTTCTAAAATCAGCCTATAAATACTGGCCTCTCATTCCATATAACTGATAGTCTGGAGAAGATGGTCTACTGCTTGCATGTAACATGATGTTTGTTCTCATCTTCAACTTTAGGATTTTGCTGTGAACGTCATCAAATGTACTCATGAACACTGGAAAGCTTTAATAGCAAAGAAAACTGACGGAGGGGAGATCAACTGGTAGGTTAATGCTTGTGGTGCTGTGCATGTTCCTTTCCCCTAAACAAATAACCCTGAAACTTCCTTTCCTGAGTTGTGCCGTGCTTTCTCTTAGCTGCTGGCTGCCTCCACAGGCCTTCCCCTTCAACTTGGCAACTATAACAATGCTTCTTAATATTCCATTATTTAATACTCTTGGGGGCAAGACTTGGCTTTCATGTTCTCACAAGTGACCTATCTATTCTAGCACAAATCTGACGGTGTCCGACAGCCCTTTCTGCTGTAGTCAAGAGTGTGCAAAAGCTACTGTGGATGCAGTAAGTACAAATTTGCATATCCTAACCCCAACGTTAGTATTGGGCAAAATGGCATGATTTGTGTGGTACTGTAAACTGTCCTCTCTGTGTGAATAGCACATTGTATGCTCAGAATTTTTTGGATGACACCACCACACCTGTTTCTGGTTAAATAGGATGAATGTGGAGCAAGCCAGACATTCCTCCAGAGGCTTCTCCTTGCCCTTAGTCATCTGGGAGATGGAAACCAAAACAGAGTTTGCGTGAAGGGCTAAACTTCTGAACTGTAGCTTGGCTGTCAGCTGTTCAGAGAGTGTTTAAATACTTGGCCTTCCAAGAGCTTCACAGTACAGATCACCCTTTGAGAAAACAAAGTCTAATTCCTGAGAGCCTTGCAGCCAGGGACCGTGCATCCTTTGCAGTGAAAAGCGTGAAGTTCCCAGTGTGGTACTCCTGTCCAGTTTCAGGACTTAACTGCATCTCCCTAGGCTTGTGGAGTATTGCTCTTGGCAACTTGAAAGGGATTAGAGGAATGGGTCAGGAAAATCAAAACGGAGATGCTGCCTCAGTATATGGAAATGTGACTGGAAACCAGAGTCTCTCTGTAGGCTTGGAGAGGCTTTTAAAACCTCTGTCTTGGTTTTAAAAGTGCTTCTATCCTCTGGTGGTATCCAAGTTACTTTGTAAGTTTTTAAAAGTGCAACCCTCGCGGAGGATGTGTCACCAGACGGGGACCCTTGTCTATCTTTGGCTGTTAAATATCAGGTGGGAGCTCCGTGGAGAAGTTTTCCAAGAGTCCTTTGTACTTCTATTCCACCATCACATTGTAGCTTTAAAAAAAGCAGGCTGCCTGCAACTCTATAGGCACTGGAGCAGTAACTGCTTGTGATGAGAAGCAGGTGGCACTGCAGCCTGTGCTTAAAGCAGAGCAACTCGGGCACGTAGGACATCTATGGAATGAGGAGGCTGTGGGGATGACGGGACTCACGCTGCACGTGAGCTCATTTATTCCCTCACGGCTGACCAGCACTGTCTGCCACAGACCAGTTCATGCTGCGTAGATCTTAAACTGTGCTCAGTCAAGACTTGTGCAGCTCTAAATAATGTCTGGTGAGCTTCAGGTTTAAGGTCAACCTCCGTCAACAGCTGCTGTCTGCTAATACGCTTCTCCTTTCAGGCACCGCCATGTAAAGCTGCTAACCCGATCCCACCCGAAGGTGAGTCTCAAAACCCATGGATACATTCCAATGCTGAGTGGAGACTTCCTCAAAGGAATTATCAATAAGAAAATGGGGGTCTTAACTGATAGCTAGGTATGGCTCTAGCACTAGGAGAAATGAAGGACCAGGAGAAATTAAGGACCTTGTTAGACCTAACTTGTGTCAGTAATACTGTTTGATTCCTGAATAACTTCTGTTGTTGCCTTACTTTCTTGTTTGGGTATGCAAGGTGGGTAAATGAGCAGTAAGTAGGAGACCTGCAGTGCCATAGTTTGCTCCAGAAGGGATTCAAGGCGTAGCAGGTCCTGCAAGAAGAGCACTGCAGAGGACTGAAGTGCAGTGATAGCCAGAGAGGGATTTTAGTTCCTCTGAAACAGGGGTTTCATCAGTATCCTCAGTGCAGGCAAGCCAAGGAAGGGAATTACTCCTTACCCGCACAGAGCAGAGGCAGAAATCAGTTGCATGTTCGGTGCTTCAGTTGCCACTGGACCTGTTGAGCAGAGATCTGTCACTGAACAACTGTCAGCTGCAAGCTGGTGACGAGCCTTTAGAGGCCTCGGGACTCGATCCATCGCACGGAGCATGACTCTGTAAGAAAAGGACAGCTGTGGGAGGAATCCGCGCTCAGCTGTCACCTTTTCCTTCCATGCGAGGCAGCAATGGGCACCTTGCACATGAAATCTGTATGCTGCTGTAGCAGGGATGAGACCCGAGGGCAAGCGTGAAGTAATGGCAATGTTGAGAACCCACAGCTGTGTGGCAGAAAGAGGAGCTAGGCTGTCATCTCCAATCTCTTCATGGGTAATAAATCTGTGAAGAAATTGATGTCTTCTGCACGGGCACAGGAGTTGGAGGTAAAATGACTTTACCTCTGAGTCAGCTGAGCCAGAGGGAAGCCGAGCTAGCCGTGGCTTGCTCTCCTCACCTGAACTGAGTCACGTGTAGGCTGAGCAAGGGTGACTTCTTCAGGAAAACATGTACACATGGCTGCACAAGAACCTGTTGGGTGTGTGGTGGTGGTGTTGACAGGAGCGGGAGGAAGCCCCTGTGGTGGAGTCGACTTATGCAGTGCTCTGTGACTACCTAATTCAGTGGGTGGCTAACAGAGGACTAACCCCCTCTTTTTTTTTTTTTTTTTTTTTTTGTCCCCCAGTTGACAAGTGGTTCTATTACCAGAAGAACTAAGGCCTGAGGATGGGTGGCAAGACAGCTGTGTCCTTCCCACCAAGGAGTTGCTACATGCAGGAATAGAGCAGAAAAATAGCTTCAGTGTCAACAAGAAGACCTTGCCTGTAACTTCGCCGATTAGAATTACGTATCTAGCAGTGATGTGTCTGCTGCATCGAGGTCTTGTGGAGGCTAGAGGACATAATTTATAAAACCAAAACACCCTGCTTGTGCATGGTCGTACAGTGTACTTTGTAAATGGCGACAGAAGATCGCTCACCCGGTACGTGTATGGACGCTAGAAATAAAAACTACTGAAACTGAACGCTTGCGGGGCTCCCTCTCCTTTCCCTCCCTCTAACGAAGCACTGGAGCCAAGGTGTGAACAGCAGCCCTTAGACGGGTCCGTGCTGGGGGGGATTCGCGCAGGATTTATCGGGTAATGCGGTATCGTGTCCCGCAAAGAGAGGGGACTTCGAGTTGGGGCGGCCGGGGACCGGCCTCGAACCCGGGTTCTGGAGGAAGCGGGGC